TCATTCAGGCACCTGAGAAGTTGGGCAAAGTACTACGGAGTGTAGAAAAGGGTCGTGCGTTCCGTGGAGTTAATATTCTCTCCCCGCAGCACAGTGTTAAGGCTCCCCATTGCCCACAGGTGAAGCCTACACAGCTACCAAGGCTTAGAGGAGACATCCAGGCTCAGGAGAAAATATACAAGCCTCGGAAAAATCCTCCCACCCCCCAGGTGAAGTTGGAAAGTGCTGAGTCGGGTATAGGAAAAAGGGAAGGTATTAAGTTGATGTACCCTATGATCCTATTTATGAGACCCTCTTTGGCTACTCAGCGCAGTAGAAACCACTACTCCTCGAGGTGTCATGCAATGGGCGACGCCTCCAGGCACTGATGGACAGCGGTGCATCTCACTCGGTGTATGACCGCGGAGCATTGGAGAAAATTGGAGAGAAGGCGGAGGAGACCCAGTTTTCAGCAACCATGGTAGACCGTACGAAACTTCCTATCCACGGCGAAGCATCACTGCAGCTGCATATAGGTGCGTTGAGGTGGAAGCCGAAGCTACCAGTCACCAACATCAAAGGGTTAGATTTTATCTTGGGGCGAGATTTTCTGAAGCGGTTCAACCCCGAGATCGATTGGATCAACAGCAAGGTGTGCATCTACAACAACGGGAAGCGGATAGCACTACGAAGTTGGACGGATACAGGGGACGTACCTGAAACGATACTGACACGGTTCGAACAGACGGTGAACGAGAGTAGCACGGGTTACCTAGCACTGGTCATGGTAGCAGCAGAGGAGGAGAAGCTGAGTTCCGAGCTCCCTGCAGCAGTAAAGGAGGTCTTGGAGCAGTACAAAGATATAATGCCCGACGACCTACCTGCAGGCGTACCTCCAGCACGTGTTAAGATGAGTGATAGAATCAGGAGCCATAGCTAGGTAAGCCCTAGCTAGGCAAGAGAAAGTTTAGGCAAAAGAGGAGGTTCACTAGAAAGCAGCAAGATACATATAGGATCTCAGAATCCCAACCACTAGACCATTGGGATAAAAGGGCTTGTTTTAAGTAGCGGGTCAGTGCGCCCATAACCCCCCAGGCAACCGTGCCTGTAACCCTTCCCTAGGATCAATCGGGGATCCCCAGTGGACCTCTGACACCCCCCCTCACTGGGATGCCCGAAGTGCACACACCGGGATTCGAACCCGAGACCTTCGCTCTGATACCATCTCAGAATCCCAACCACTAGACCATTGGGATAAGAGGGCTTGTTTTAAGTAGCGGGTCAGTGCGCCCATAACCCCCCAGGCAACCGTGTCTGTAACCCTTCACTAGGATCAATCGGGGATCACCAGTGGACCTCTGACATAGGAAACCCTAAGGGGTTGTACTCGCTATAGAGTACCCCACTGCAGGCTAGAGAACAATAACATTCTGACACACCCCCATAGCCAAAGTGGGGTGTAATCAGCAGAGCACACAGTCATAGAGCAGGTGCACAATTGCAAGCAAAGCTAGAGGCTATCACAGAGGGCAAGTCAAGAGGAGGAGGAACAGTGGAAGGAGAGAAAATGGGAGGAAACGACTGAAGCTGCAGAGGCACGGGCACAGGAGCGGCTGACTCTGTGGCTACCGAAGCAAGGGCGACGGACTACTGGAGTAACTGGCTCCGCGGCTATAGACGAGCGGCAGGAGCAATGGACCCACTGGCGACTGGTGCAACAGGCTCACTGGCTACCGAAGCAAGGGCGACGAACTACAGGCGCTGCAGGCGACACGACAGCTACCTTCACACAACCTCCTCCAACTGCCCCACACCCTCGACACACACCCCCTGCTCAAAACCCTAGCTCCACTCCCACGGCACCCCCCTTAAACCTGAAACCCCAGGCTCCCACACATCCACCCCCCTCAACGACAGCTGCAGCAGTGGGAGACGAAGGAGGAGGAGGAGGAGGGGACGGCGCACACAACCGACACCCCCACAACCGCCACCCCCACACCCCTCACCCCCCAAACCCTAAAACGGGTGGGACGGGGCAAGAGCGCGGGGGACGGCGAAGGGGGATGGCGCGCGACCCCCAGGGCGCCCAAAACGGACGGGCGGGACGGGGGGGGAGGGGTGGCGCGCGCGGCTCCCCAGGGCGCCGCGACAGACGGGCGGCGGGCGCGCGCGGCTCCCTTGGGCGCCGCGACTGACGGGCGGGGGCCGCGCGTCCCCCTAGGGCGCCGCGACGAGCAGGGCACGGGCCGCGCGTCCCCCAGGGCGCCGCGACGAGTAGGGCACGGGCCGCGCGTCCCCCCAGGGCGCCGCGACGAACAGGGCGGGGGCCGCAAGTCCCCCCAGGGCGCCGCGACGAGCAGGGCAGGGGCCGCGACGTACAGGGCGGGGGCCGCGCATCCCCCTAGGGCGCCGCAACGAGCAGGGCAGGGGCTGCGCGTCCCCGAAGAAGGCAAGAAGAAGAAGGTGTCGCACGCCACGGGGCGTGCAACAGACAGAGTAGCAGCGGAAGAAGGTGGGCCCACAGGCCAGGAGCGTTTCTGCTCTGATAGCATGTTAAGATGAGTGATAGAATCAGGAGCCATAGCTAGGTAAGCCCTAGCTAGGCAAGAGAAAGTTTAGGCAAAAGAGGAGGTTCACTAGAAAGCAGCAAGATACATATAGGAAACCCTAAGGGGTTGTACTTGCTATAGAGTACCCCACTGCAGGCAAGAGAACAATAACATTCTGACAGCACGCACCCACGAGCATGAGATCGTGGAGGAACCAGGTGCAAAACCCGTCTCACGTGCACCATACCGGCTGAGTCCGACCGAACTAATAGACATGAAGAAACAGATAGAGTATCTACTGGACAGACAACTGATCCACCCATCCACCTCTCCCTACGGTGCACCAGTTCTCTTCACTCCAAAACCAGACGGCAGCTTACGGATGTGCATCGACTACCGCGCACTGAACGAACAGACAGTTAAAAACAGATACCCCATACCGCGCATCGACGACTTATTGGACCAACTGCGTGGTGCAACAGTCTTCTCGAAGCTGGACCTATGGTCGGGTTACTGGCAGATCAAGATGGCGGACAACTCGATCCACAAGACGGCATTCCGTACTCAATACGGCTCCTACGAATACTTGGTGATGCCGTTCGGACTCTGCAAAGCACCAGCAACGTTCCAGGCGGAAATGAACCATATTCTACGGCCCCTGCTGGACGAGTGCGTAGTGGTGAACCTGGACGATATCCTCATCTACTCCAAGAACATGAAGGAGCACGTGGAGCATCTGCGGAAGGTGTTCGAGATCCTGCGGAAAAACAAGTTCTACGTGAAGCCGTCGAAGAGCGACTTCGCCCTGAAGAAGGTGCAGTTTCTCGGGCACATGGTGAGTGCTGAGGGCGTACACGAGGACCCGCGGAACATCGAAGCCGTCAAGAAGTGGAAAGTTCTGAAGAACGTGAAGGAGTTGCAGCAGTTCCTAGGATTCGCCAACTACTACAACAGGTTCGTGCCATAGTACGCTAAGATAGCAGCGCCACTGACCGACCTACTAAAAAAGGATACGCCCTTTAAATGGGATACTCCGCATCAACAAGCCATGGAACAGCTACAGACAGCACTGACCACAGCCCCAGTACTCATCCTACCAGACCCCGAGAAGGACTACGTAGTTGAAGCAGACGCTAGTGACCAGGCAGTCGGAGCAGTACTGATGCAGGATCACGGGAACGGTTTACAGCCTATCGCCTTGTCAGAAGATTATAGCTTATACATTTGTGTAGGCTGTAGTGGGGTAGCCCATAAGGGGTACAACCCAATTAGGATTAGTACTTGTACCCAACTGTTTCATAGTTCATTCATTCCATTCTCACTTCTCGTCATGGTATCGAGCAGGTTCCCGAGTGGGAATACTGCCTAGGGCCCACCACGAACTTTTTTTTCCTTCCCTGCCCGGAGCGCGCTTAGCTCCTAACCCGAGTAGCGCCTCGAGCCGCCTTAGTGGCCTTTATTGGCCGCCCTTACTACCCCTCGAGCCGCCCTCTACGCCCTTGCTTAGGCCGCTACGGCCCCACTAAGGCCCCGCTTAGGCCCCGTCGGCCCCGCTACGGCCCCGCTTAGTCCCCGCTACGGCCCCGCTACGGCCCCGTCGGCCTCGCTTAGGCCCCGCTACGGCCCCGCTACGGCCCCGTCGGCCCCGCTTAGGCCCCGCTACGGCCCCGCTACGGCCCCGTCGGCCCCGTCCGCCTCGCTACAGCCCCACTTAGGCCCCGTCGGCCCCGCTACGGCCCCGCTTAGGCCCCGCTACGGCCTCGCTACGGCCCCGCTACGGCCCCGTCGGCCCCGCTTAGGCCCCGCTACGGCCCCGCTACGGCACCGTTGGCCCCGTCGGCCCCGCTTAGGCCCCGCTACGGCCCCGTCAGCCCCGTCGGCCCCGCTACGGCCCCGCTACGGCCCCGCTACGGCCCCGCTTAGGCCCCGCTACGGCCCCGCTACGGCCCCGCTTCGGCCCCGCTTAGGCCCCGCTGCGGCCCCGCTACGGCCCCACTTCGGCCCCGTCGGCCCCTCTACGGCCCCACTTAGGCCCCACTTCGGCCCCGTCGCCACCGCGGCCCCGCCCACCCTTGCGGCCTGCCGCCACCTGCGACCTCGCCACCACCTGCGACCCCGCCTCCCAACGCCCGCAAAGCCGAGCAGCCGAACCGCCGGCCACCGGAGCCGCCCGACCTCCCGAGCCGCCCGACAGCCGAGCCGCCAAACACCGTGCAGCCGAGCCGCCCAGCAGCCGAGCCGCTCGATAGCCGAGCCGCCCAGCACCAGCAGCCGAGCCGCCCAGCAGCCGAGCCGCCCGACACCCGAGTCGCCCAGCACCTGCAGCCGAGCCGCCCAGCAGCCAAGCCGCCCAGCAGCCGAGCCGCCCTGCAGCCGAGTCGCCCGACAGCCGAGCCGCCGAGCAGCCCGATCGCTCCACCTACCTGGTAAGAGCACAGTCTCTGCCACTGCACTGCCCTGCCTCCTGCTCTTATGGCTTCCCCTAGCGTTCTCACCTTTGACGCTGAGGGTCGGGCAGTGGACTTTGAGGTCTGGGTAGATGATCTGCAGCTTTTCCTGCAGTGCGATAGGGCAGACGGCCTCTCCCTGTTTGACCTCACTTCTGGTGCCTCCCCTGCCCCTGCTGCTGATGCTGACGCCACTGTTCGCTCACAGTGGGCCACACGTGACGCTGCTGCTCGCCTTGCTGTGCGCCGCCACTTACCGACCACTGAGCGTGCACACTTTAGCCAGTACAAGAGTGCTCAGACCTTGTACGACGCTGTAGTTGCACGCTACTCTTCCCCTGCCACTGTTGCATTGAGCCGCCTCATGCTACCGTACCTCTTCCCTGACCTTGCTGCCTTTCCCACTGTCGCTGACCTCATTACGCACCTCCGCACTAGTGACACTCGCTACCGCGCTGCGCTTCCTGCTGAATTCTACGCCAAGAACCCCCCCCCCATGTACATCACCCTCTACTACATAGTCACCCGTCTCCCTGACTCTCTCCGTGTAGTCAGGGACCACTTCCTCTCTGTTTGCCCCACCACTCTCACCGTTGACCTCCTCGAGAAGGCCCTCCTAGCGAGAGAGAAGAGCATAGTCGCTATAGGAGCCTCTCGTGGTGACCCTCGCACCCCCGTCTTTGAGGGGTGTTCTCCCTCCCCCCTCTTGCCCTCTGTTGCCTCCGCTGCTGCGGCCGACCTCGTTGGTTTCGAGTCGGTCGGCGCTGAGCTTGGGGGTGCTGAGTCTGGGGGTGTGGAGCCCGGGGGTGCTGGGTGTGCTCGTGTGACCACCAGCGGTACTTCGTCGAGGCGGGAGCCGCTCTCTCCAAAGGAGTTGCGCGTGTGGTTCGCCCGCCACTGGAGACGTGCTGCTGAGTCTGGGGGTGTTGGCGCTGGTGTTTCTACAGGTGCTGGTGCGTCAGGGGGAGCTGCTTAGGCAGGTGGTGTTGACAGTCCTACTGGAGTTGGTGCTACTGGAGCTGGAGCTGCTGGGGGTGTTGGCACTAGTGTTTCTACTGGTGCTAGTGCATCTGGGGGTGCTGGTGAGGCAGCTGGTGCTGACGGTCCTACTGGAGTTGGTGCTGCTGGAGCTGGAGCTGCTGGGGGTGTTGGCGCTGGTGTTTCTACTGGTGCTGGTGCGTCTGGGGGTGCTGCTGAGGCAGCTGGTGCTGACGGTCCTACCGGAGTTGGTGCTGCTGGAGCTGGAGCTGCTGAGGGTGTTGGCGCTGGCGGTGCTGCTGGCGCTGGTGCTTCTGAGGGTACTGGAGTTGGCGCTGTTGGAGCTGGAGGTTCGGTTGGCGCTGGTGTTGCCGCTAGGGGTACTGGTGACGTACTTTGTTCCGCTCTTGGAGCAGGTTCTTGGTCTCCCGCCCTCTACTGGTCCTGCTCCTCCCCTAGAGTGTCCACCGCCTGTCCAGTCGCAGTCACAGTTACCGCCCGCCTCCCCTCTACGTGCTCCTTCTCCCTACACTGGTCCTACTGGAGGTCTTGGTGAGCGTCGTGAGCCTGCGTCTCGTCCCGCGTCACCTGTTCGTGCTGCTCGCACTAGTGGTCGTACTACACGTCCGCGTCCTCCTGCGGTCCCCGGCACACACCAGATGGCACTGCATCCTTCCACTGCTCCTCTGCGTGTCCCGTTGCCGTCTCCTCCAGAGTCCTCTCTTCCTTCTCTTGCTCACCCGGAGTCTGACTCCCTTCGTGCTGCTAGTCCTTCGGTCACGCGCCTTCTTGCTAGTGTCGTCACTGACCCTTCCTTTGAGTCTGCTGCTGCGTCTGCTCTCGTTGCTGAGCTTGTCGACTTCGCTGCTCGCTGTCGTTTAGACTACGCTGCTAGTCTTGTTGCTGAGTCTCAGTCTGTCTGTCCTCCGTCCGTCGGGGGTGAGTGTGCTCTTAGCACGGACGTCCTTGAGGATAGGCAGGAGGAGTTCCAGTGCTTTGCGGCTGCTTTGCCTCATCTCGTGTCCACGCTGATTGCCCCTGAGGGAGACCCGGATGCACCAGACATCCCGACTCCTCGATCGTACGCGGGTAGACCGCCACGAAACAGAGCCGGAGCCAAGGCTGAAGGTGTAACCCTGTGACGACCGCTGCGTAGCCTGGTCGTCAGCCCAAGAAGCGTCAGCGTGACCTGTGAGGACTACTCGACGTCGCCCTCCAAGCACTAGCCCCATGCCCGACGTACTGCACAAGTAGCGCAACACCCTCTTCGCTGCAGCCATGTGCTCTGGTCTGTGTCTCCCAGGAGCAACATAGCGTGCAAGAATGCTAAGAGGGTATGCAAGGTCAGGTCGTGTGCAGGTCATCAGGTACATGAGGCAGCCAACAAGCTCTGGGTACGGGCCACTCGACTCTACGGACTCATCCGAAGGCAGAGCTGAGAGCGAGTGGCGAGTAAGCAGAGGAGTGGCCTGAGGCGAGGAGTACGTGAAGCCGAAGCGTTGAAGGACCTGCTGCACCATGTGTGACAGCGTCAGGGTAATGGTGCGCTCTGCTCTGTCTTGGGTGATCTGCAAGCCAAGGTAGCTGCGCAGTTCACCCAGGTCTGTGCACGTGTGTCTCTTCTGCAGCTCGGACTTCACGTGGGCGAGTCCAGCAGTGTCAAAAGTGGCAAAGACCAGGTCGTCAACGTACACGAGGATGTAGAACGGCGGCAAAGAGGTGTCGGTGCGCAGAAACAGCGACGGGTCGGCAGTAGAGGGAGCAAACCCAAGAGCCGCAAGCGTAGTCCTCAGTGTGTCGTGCCACTCACGCAGTGCCTGGCAGAGACCGTAGACTGGCCGCCGGAGGCTCCACTGGGTGCCAGGAGGAAAAGTCCCAGTGAAGCCAGGTGGGCGGCGCAGCCAGATCTCCTCGTGCAGGCTACCCTGCAAGAAAGCAGTGCTGAAGTCAAGAGAGTGAAGCTCGTAGTCGCGCTGAGCGGCTATGTGCAGCAGCACCTGAAGAGTGGTCATCTTCGGGGTGGGAGAGAAGGTCTGAAAGTAGTCCACTCCCTGCCGCTGAGTGAAGCTACGAGCCACGTACCGCGCCTTGAAGACAGGTGGAGAACCTGGCCGCTGCTTCACCCTGAAGATCCACATGCCACTGACGATGTTCGCCCCAGGTGGGGGAACCGCGTCAACGTAGGTGCCTGTGGACTTCCAGGAAGCCATCTCTGCATCCATAGCTGCCTGCCACTGAGAGGAGTAGGGACCCTATACGGCCTCCGCGTAAGAGCGCGGAGTCGGGATAACAAGTTCATCCGGGTCTCCCTCAAGGGTAAGCAGTACGGACACGAGATGAGGTGAAGCAGCAGCCAGACACTGGAACTCCTCGTGCCTGTCCTCAAGGACGTCCGTGCCAAGGGCACACTCACCCCCGACGGACGAAGGACAGACAGACTCAGACTCAGCGACAAGACTAGCAGCGTCGTCTAGACGACAGCGAGCAGCAAAGTCGACGAGCTCATCAACTAGGGCAGACGCAGCAGTGGACTCAAAAGAAGGGTCAGTGACGACAGTAGCAAGGAGACGCGTGACAGTAGGACTGGCAGCACAAAGAGAGTCCCACTCCGGGTCGGCAAGAGCAGGAAGAGAAGACTCAAGAGGAGAAGGCAAAGGGGCACGCAGAGGAGCAGTGGACGGACGCAGAGACATCCGGTGCGTGCCAGGGACAGGAGGAGGACGCTGACGCGAACCGCGACCACTAGTGCGAGCAGCACGGACAGGCGACGCAGGGCGAGACGCAGGCTCACGACGCTCAGTAAGACCTCCAGTAGGACCATTGTAGGGAGACGGAGCAGGCAGTTGGGAGGCCGACTGTAACTGTAACTGCGACGGGACAGGTTGTGGACACTCTAAGGGAGGAGGAGGACCAGTAGAAGACGGGAGACCAAGAACCTGCTGAAGGAGCGGAACGAAGTACGGCCGAGGCCGAGCGGCGACTCCAGACACAGTAGGGACAGCACCAGCACCCCCAATGGCAGCACCAGCACCAGTAGCAGCTCCAGCTCCAGTACCTCCAGCAGCACCAGTAGTACCCCCAGCAGGACCGCCTCCAGGACCGACAGCAGTAGCCTCCGCGCCAACACCCGCAGCAGCTCCAGCTCCAGAAGTACCCGCAGGCCCAGCAGCTCCAGTACTCCCAGTACGAGCACCTCCGAGACCCGTGGCACTAGCTTCCTCAGCAGCAACAGAACCTCCAGTACCCGCAGCACCTCCAGCTCCAGCAGCTCGCCTCCAGCGCCGGGCAAACCACTCACGCAGCTCCTGTAGAGAGAGTGGCTCTTGGCAATACAAGCACCCCTAGTAGTAGCACCCTCAGGCTCAGCACCCCGCGGGTCTACCGGGGGGGGACCTGGCACAAGGAAGAGCGGTGGCGGGGGGAGGGACGGAGTGCGGTAGGGGAAGAGGCGGTAGTAGGGGACCGACTCATCAAACGTGACGTCCTGGGAGGACAGAACACGACGAGAGGTGGGGTGGTAGAACTGCCACCCTGGCGCGTCAGGGGGGAAGCCAAGGAAGACGCAAGGAGCAGCACGAGGGGACAGCTTGTCCGCAGACAAGTCGCGGACAAACGCCCGAGATCCCCACACATGGAACGCAAACGCATCGCCAACCTTCCCCGTCCACAGCAAAGCTGGGGAGGTCTCCGGCATGGAGACCCTGGGGTGAAGGTTGATCTGATGCGCCGCGTACCGAACCGCAAACGGCCACAGAAAATGGGGGGCAGCTGCATGCATCATGGACGTACGGGCGACGTCCATGACCATGCCAATGCGGCGCTCAGCAATCCCATTTTGCTGTGGAGAGTCCGGAAGCGTAAAGGTCTGGCGGATGCCTCGCGCACGACAGTAGGCTCGCAGAAGGCCAGAGGAAAACTCTCCGCCTCTGTCAGAGTGCAGACGCAGAACAGGAAAGTCCGAGCCGAAGCTCCTCCCGAGCTGGACACGAGCTGCGCGGATCCAGTCGATCAACACCTCAGTGACATCATCCTTGCTGCGCAAGGGAAAGACTGTGGTGTAAAGCGAGTAGTCGTCAACCACCAGCAGGAAGTAGCGCTCGTGACCCTGTCCGCGGACTCGGGCCCGGCCCCACACGTCCATGTGAAGCGTCTGTAGCGTGGCCTCTGTCGGGGGAAACTGAGAGGAGTGAGGGGCAGCCCGCAGCCGCCCCTCAACACAGGGGACGCAGGTGGGGCCAGGCCCCGGAGGAAGGGGAGGGAGGGACCGGGGAAGACCAGAGACAAGGACACGAGAGGCCATGCCTCGGAGACGAGGCAGGGAGGGGTGACCAAGGCGGTGGTGCCACAGGAGAGTCTTGTGAGACACGAGGCGACACGAGCAGGGGGCAGACTCAGGACCAGACCTGGACGCTGCAACAAACACCTGACCCGACGCAGCTACCTGACCAGACGCAGGGACACGAGGAGACTCAGTGGTCAGGGTGTACAGGCTCGACCCCGGCCGACGCGTAAACGTGGCCAGGTGCCGGCCTGTGCGAGCGTCCAAGCAGTGAGTCACCCGCTGACTCGCAGGAGTAAACTGGTTAACCCCCGCATCCTGTAGGTCAGCACCACTCACCAAGTTCGTAGAGAACAAGGGGAGGTACAAACCAGACAAGGTGCCAGAGGGGGCCGCCGGACACGGGAGGACAGTGGAGAAGTGAGAAAGGACAGGACCCCCAGAGGGGTCTGCCAGGGAGACTGCAACCGGCCGACCAAGCGGCGTGAGTGTGGTGCGATCTCGAAAGAAGGAGCGAGAAGCCCCTGAGTCAAGTGTGAAGGTGAGGGAGGCCGAAGCCGACGCGATACCTGCGAGTGCAGACTCACCAGCACCTGAGGACGCAAACGCACTGGCACCTAGAGCAGCAGCCTCACTGGCACCTAGAGCAGCAGCCTCACCAGTACCTAGAGCAGCAGTCTCAATGCCCGGGTCGGGCGAGAAACACCGGTAACAGTCAC